TGCGGGCAGGTTTCGAGCTGCAGCGAGCAGGGCGGAAGCCGTAGAGCTAAACCACAGGCGAACCGTGGCCTCTCGCAGCAGCACCGGAGCACGCGAGGCTCAGCCTGCGCCCTGCTGCTCTCCCACGCGCCGCTCAGACAATCACGTTTTCCCTCGGGGGAGTTTTCACCGGGGCGCTTGAGGGGAGCTCTGAGGCAGCACGGCTGTGCTGATCTGCTGTGTGGCAATTTGTGCAAAAATAAAGATGAAATTGCGCCGTTTTTGAATGAGAGGCCGTTAATGCGCACAGGGACCAAAATAAAGCCATGAGGGAGGAGGGGAGCGTGCAGCCCGGTGATTAGAGCCTCCTTCGCCTTTGTCCCCATGGCACAGTGCCCTTTTTTTTCAGGAATGGTGCCTGGCTCCCTGTGGCACCATCGCTTGTCCCGCTCCTGCTCCTCCTTTAACCTCCCTTCACCTTGGTGGTTACACCCGGAGGTGGGACCAACATCCCCTCTGCAGCCTGAAACACTCATAACACTGCCCTGAAACACTCATAACTCTCTCGGGGGGCTAGATGGCAGTTTTTATTTATATCAGTGCTTAAACGGCAGGAGGGTGGCCTGGATCTTGTCCATGGTGCTTACGAGAGTGGAACTGAAGGGATTAGATCACTGAGAGCATAATAATGGGCTGTATCTGAGGGCTCAGATGCTGCAAGCACCTGAAGTTGCCTCATCAGGGCAGCTTTAATGCCCTTAACACCACAGCAAGAGAGAGGAGCCTCCTTGCACTGGCTTTGTGTGTTTGCAAGATGATGTCCATTTGTTGCTTCCTGACAAAAGCGTGTTTTACATGAAATAGCCCCAGCTGTAAGGGACGAGTACAAGAAAGCTGCAGTGGGTAATTCATTTTAAATTGCCTTTGCATGCCCTGAGGATAGCTGACTAGCCACTTGTTGAGTGGCATATGTTTTACTGGGTTGATGTGAGTTCAGCCTTCCCACGTGGGAAGGCTCCAAGCAGGGCAGCCGGCGTATGAAAGCAAACCCAGCACCTCCTCACGGCTCTACTCAAGAATGCTGGCTCAGAAGAAGGAGCGGGTCACAAATTCGCTTTGTCTTCCAAAATGGTTATTCCCGCTTTCTCAGCATTTTGAAGGAAGAAGGGGGGGAAAATAATTTTCTCCCTGGGTGGTATGAACCACGGAGTAGGCAGGTCCTGAGCGAACAGGCTCTCTGTCAGGCAAAGTGACCCCACACTGGTGGGAAGTCACCTGTGTGCACAGGAGCTTGGGAGGGGAGGAGGTGGCATGGGGTGAGATGTAGGGAGAGGTGGTTGGAAGACAGAAAATAAGGCTGGGCCAGGCTTGTCAGCGTGTCTCCCCACAACCTTGTCCTCCACCAGCACATCCTCAGTGCCCTGGAACAAGAGGCTGTGGCTGCCATCCTGGGCTGGGGTGGAAGGTGAGGGCAGGAGTGGGAAGGTCTCAGGCTCTCCCCGGTGCTCTGTAACGTACTCTTTCCAGCTCTGGGTCCTGAGCACTGCCAGGGCTATGATATTTTTACCCTGCTTTCTTTCTGCTGAACGTTAATCTCATAAAGACCCTGCACTTTCCTGGGCATCTGCCTGGACCATGCAGAACATCTCGTCCTCGTCAGACACATGCTGACATTTTCTGTCTCCAGAATTGGCCGCTCATGAATGGGACCTGCCTGGAACTTGCAGTCTCGTCTCCCTCGAAGGAGGGGCAGTGTCGGCCGGTGCTTCAAGGTTTTGGTGTGTGCATGTTCTGTGATGCTGTGTTCATTTTTTTCCCTTGCTCATTAAAGAAATAAGTTGGTCCGCCTGGATTATTGCCTCAAATCCTCTCCGGGGAAAGCGGGACGGGAGCAGAAAGTTTGTAGTTTGACATAACACATGATTGCAAAGAGGATTATGCTTTGTGAAAAGAAATACATTCCTGCGTTGATAAAGGGTGGATTAACTAGATCTGGAACTCGATGTGGCTGTTTGGAGACAAGCCCCCCTAACATGGAGCCCAGGGGTGCACTGACAAGAGGTGCATGCAGACCAGCGCTCCGTTTGCTGGAGAAGGTTACACCAGGCTCTGGCTTGGTGCATCTTCCCTCCTCAGTTCTCTCTGGCAGAGCTCATGGCTGTAATTCCTTGGTGTGCTCCCGCTGCGCACAAGTGGGAATCATTTTCAGCCTCTCTGTGGCTGCCAGTGGGCCTCTGTGCTGCATGATGCCTCGATAGGAGCTCAAGTGTAAATGGGCTCAGAGAGGGGCTACATCGTTACTGGAGGAGGGAGGGATACCCTGGTGCTTTTTAAACATGAAGGCCTGGCTGCAGCCTGCTGCTCACGCTGGTGTAACTGGGGGAAAAGCAGCTCTATCTCGGAGCAATAGGGCAATAGCCCTGTTTGCTATTTTCTTCATGACAAAATTGTAAAATTGGCACTGCCAAGGCTGTTTATGGAGCTAGAAATGCAATTGCCCTTACTGTTATGAGTTTTTCACATGCACACCATATTATTTTCGGGCATGGGTGAGGCACAGGTTTGTTAAGCACTGTTAAAGGGCAGCAATGTGCTAAAACAACGCAAAGATGGTGCTTATGCCTGGAGGACAGATCCAGATTTGATTCCTGTAATGTTTTTGCCCGTACACAGCCCACTCCTATTGCTTGCTCTCTCTGGGTGTCAGCTCCCCACTGGTAAAACAGGGCTTTATTTTGTTTATTTTACGTTCTGTCCAGCACTTG